CTGGAACTTCCTTCTCTGCCATTTTGTGTCAACCCTACTTTCTTAAATCTTGTTTCCTGCTTCCCTTCTGTTCATATGTCTTTTTAAAAATCCCATACAAGTCCCTTAAAGGTTGGTTGCAGGCTAATGTAATGATGATTAGAACTGTACCAAAATCTAAGGTGAATTAGGTTGAGATAAATTAATCAGTTTTGATTATCTTAGACATTAGATTTGAGCATGCATTACTTTTGCTGATTCTCCATTAAAGTAGAAATGCATTGTGTATTTAAATATAGACATTGTAAATAATGAGGGATTGGTTTTATAGGCTTGATGTGGTTTATAAGATTGAAAAGGATTTCAAATTTTGCCAATTATGAAGAGTTGATTTACTATTATTATTATTGCACGAGTTAATTTCTACATAGTATTTTTCTGTTTCCTGTATGGATTGGCTAATTATCATGATAGAAAATAAATTTTAAAATTATGTATTTAAGTCCAAGAAGTTTAGACAATTTGTTGCTATATGATGTCATTTATGCTATATGATCTTTTTATTTAACATTTATATTGCCATAGCGCATAGTAATAGAATATATTTATATGTTTATTCACATTAAATTGTAGTTCATTTTTTAGTTAAATTTTTAGGAAGAAGGTGTGGAAACCCTGGTACTCTAACAGAACCACAGTCCGAAATTTATATTCTGACCTATTTTATCACTTTTAGAGTTGTTAACGCATGCTTAATAATTCTACTAATAAAATACTAAATTTTTATACTCATTTCTTTTTAGAACCTTATAAAACACCTTCCTGAGCAGACGGTACTCAATGAATTAGCAAAGCTGAAGAATGAATATGATGACCTTTGTGAGCCTGAACAATTTGGAGTCGTGGTATGTATCTAGCATACGTCAGCTTGGAAGTAACCCTTGTCAGAAACAGTGAAAATAATTTTAATCGTTGATTTCTTTTTTACTGTACAACAATGTAATTTAATATAATATTGGCCTTCAGAACAACATCCTTTGTTTTTCTATTATTTGTCATGGTATTGAAAAATAAAGAAATTAAAATTTACGTTCTATAAAATATTTCAAAATATCTCATGAAATATATGAAAAATAGTATATATATTATTGTATTGTCTATTTTTACTTGTATTTAGATCTTGATGTCAGCATTTGCCCTCCCCCCCAATATTTAGACTAATAAAAATGGTAGTAACTAGGTAAATATTCTAGGGACTCTGTGGTATATATTATGTCAGAAAAAGCACAAGAACTTTTAGATTTCCTATAGAGTGTTATTAATTGATGGAAAGCTTTAAATACACTGTTTCAGCTGGAAAGAAAAGCTCATAAATACACATTATGCTTTAGTGTGGTTGGTTATATCATTATCGAAATGTATTATATTTCCTTATTCCCTCTTTATTTTAAGGGGTACAAAAGATGACTAGGTATAAATTATATATTAAAGAATATAGTTATATATTTTAAGTACTCTCCAAACCTGCTATTCAAATAATTGCCTCAAAAAATAGAAAGAGGGCATGGTGATTTATATATTTCTTAGAGAAAAAAACTTTTTGATTTAGGTATTCTCTACAAGTTTGTTGTCTGTATGAATAAACAATTCTAGTACAGCTGCCAGCTTTACCCTGGCTTCTTGACCATTTTCCATTTGCTTATTAAGACTTAAAATTACCATCAGTCCTAATAGTCAAACACTGTGTCTGCTTCATCCAAAATATTTTATAATCTGTTTTTTCTAACTTTTTAAAAAATAAGTTTATTGGGGTAACATTGGTTAATACAATTATATAATTTTCAGGTGTACATTATCATTTAACATTTGTATATTCTATTGTGTGTTTAGTACCCAAAGTCCAGTTTCTTTCAGCTATCAAATATTCGATCCCCTTTACCCACTTCACCCTCCCCCTACCCTCCTATATTTGACCCCCTTTACCCCATCTACCTCCCTCCTCCTCCCTTACCTCCTACCCTCTGGTAACCACTAGTCTATAGTCTATGTCCATGAGTCTCTGTTTGTTTGTTCTGTTCATTTGTTGCTTTTAGGTTTATATCCCACATATGTGATGTCATGTGATTTTCAACCTTTTCTGTCTGGCTTATCTCACTTAGTATGATTATTTCAAGATCCATCCATGTTGTCACAAACAGCGATATTTCATCTCTTCTTATGGCTGAGTAATATTCCACTGTATATATGTACTTCTTTAGCCAATCATTGTATCGTAGGACACTTCAGTTGCTTCCATATCCTGGCCACTGTGAATAATGCTGCTATGAATATCGGTGTGCAATATCTTTTTGGATATGGGTTTTCAAGTCTTTGGGGTCAATACCCAGTAGAGGGATTGCTGGATCATATGGTAGATCAATTCTTAGTGTTTTGAGGAACCTCCATACTGTTTTTTATCGTGGCCGTACCAATTTGCGGTCCCACCAGCAATGTATAAGGATAACCTTTTTAATAGTAATATATTTGAAATGATCTGGTTTGGTCTTTTGGAATTTAAAAATCCTGTTTAAAGTCAAAATGTGATAGATGAGACAGAGAATGTTTCTTTTGAACATGTGCATTAACTGCTTGCCCATATTTAGACTTTATTAATTCTCAGATATGGCATTGCATACAGTGATGTAGGATTCTTTCCAGTCCTTGAAAAGCAAATCAGGAATGCATATTTGGTATTGGATAGAGAATGTAAATGTACCGGAAGCAGATATTTCTCTCATTTTTTAGTTAGATAAATCAATCAACTAACTGGTTGGATATTATTAATTAAATAACAGCACTTTAGTGCCATATGAAATAATAAAATTTTCCAGACCAAAGTCCAAACTTGAAACCTAAGCTGTTTGAATTCATATTATAATTGAAGCTAGGCTATGTACCATCTGAGAATTCAGCTGTATCATGATGGTTATGAGTTTTACAGTAAGTACACTACACAATTTCTCTGAAGCCATTTTTTTTTGGGGGGGGGGAATGCAGTTTATCTTGGAAGATGTATTAGTTTGCCAAGAAAGTCCTTCAAGAGGCATATCCTTGGTACTACACTGAGGAAATGAAGTTTGGGGACATAAAAAGCAATATACCTTCTGAACTAAAAGCAAAATAGAAAATGGAAGATATTTCTTGTTTATGCACATAACCATAAATAATTCTGGGACTGTGTACATGAAGTCACCTGGTCTTCTTATTTACTCTTCCCATCTTTAGCTACACGCCTGCAGGGAAAAAAGCCAAAGACATTATAAAGTAGTTTATGATATATAAATTTTCTAAGGCAGTGTCAATCGGTATTTGCCAAATAAAGTTTAGATAACCTCATATCTAGCCAAAAGAAATTTGAAATAACGCTGTGCTTTAGTTTTTTAAGCGTGTATGCTTTGCAGCGCTTAGGACAATATTTTATCTACAATAGACAATAGATAAATGTTTATTGAATTATAGGGCAATTATTAAACCCACATGTGAGCTTGCAATTTAAAATAGCATATTTTTGATTTGTAAAAGTAAAAATTATGGTGAAACATATTTCTCCCATTCTATGCTGAAATGAAATATACTTCTCTATGAGTATACCCAAATAACTTTAACCCTCAAAATTTATCCACAGCCTACATTTAGGGCAACTTTGGAAATGTATAGAATCATCTGCACTAATGAGAGAGGCTCCAAACTGATAGTCTTGCTTCTTCTCTTTCTCCCCATCAAAGCTAATACTGTAGTCTTCTTAAAATCTCTCCATCATATATCTGTATCAAAAAATTTCGGTGTCTCCCAGATTTTACAGAATAAAACTTGAGCTCTTTAGCATTCTCATTCTGCCTCTGCCCCTCTGGCTTTATATCTTCCTACACAATTTGGTGCGCTCAGTGAATTGGTGTCTTCATGACATTTTAGATTTTACCTCAGTAGGACTCTCATTGCCATTTCAGCATTTTTTCTTCCTTGTTTCTATGCAATGGTCTTTCATTTTTTCATAGCAGCTATACCATTTCTTATCAGCTCTCCTCCAGTCTTCTATCCCGCCCCTCCTCGTTCTTTTCACTTACTACAAACAACCTAATTTCTTACTCGCCAGAGAAATGGAAAAACACTTAGGCTTCAGAACTTCCAATATCTCTTCTACCTACAAAGTTATCTCTACCCCTATCTTTTATTAACTTATTCTCTATCAAACCCAGCAAGAGGGATACCTTATTTAATATGACTAATATTGTTGTTGTTATTATTAGTGATAGAAACAAAAATGTATTGAGGAGTTACTGTGTCAGATACCACGCTAAGCAATTTTGCATGCAGTATCTCACATATTCCTTACCACACTGTGAGATTGACACTTTTATTAGTGCCATATTATGGATTAGGAAACCAAGACCAAGGCAGGCTGGAGAACTTGTCCAAGGTTACATAGTAAATAATAGATGCAAAATTCAAACCCAGGCAGCCTGATTTCAGAGACAATGTTTTTAACCACTGTCCTGTACTGGGATGGGTGTATGTGTGCTGCATGTGTAAGATGTTCTACTACATGCTAATTTACTTATCTCTGTTTGAGGCATTATTATCGCCACCTATTTTAGTTCTGTTATCTTATTGCCTCTTCATTTTGTCAGTCTCCACTCTGCCCTTCTCTTTAGAAAAAAAAAAAATCATCTTCCGTCACTCCTTGCCTAAAACTGATGAATGGATAGTTGGGTAGAGAATAAAAATCCTTCATTGGCCTTGAAGTCCCTCATACCTACTTACCAATCTCCATGTCCTAACAGCAGTTTTTTTCAAAGATTAGTTTCCTTTGGCTGTCTACTTCCTTAACTTCAATGAACAGTAATCAGAATTGTGCCTTAAATAAGGCATTGATCTAGGAGAGGTCATTAATTACCTTCTAATTGCATCAAAAATATACATCAGATCTACTCTGCTTATCTTTGCTGTCACCACTTTAGCCCAAAGCCAGCATCATCATTCCCTTTAACCATTACTATATACTTTTAGCTTGTTTTCTCTATTTATACTTTTTCTCTTCTCCAAATCAGTCTCAGCACAACCCTTGATGTGACATTTCTAGAGTGCATTTGTGTTACCTCATAGTATTTATCTACTTAAAGCATCAGTGTGTTGTATGGCACTAAGGCTACAATATAAACTCCTTACCACAACTTGCCATTTCTCCTACTTTTATCTCCTGCTGTTTGGCTTCTTACTCATTATGCCTCAGCCACATTATATTTGATTTTTCAGTTTTTTTTTTTTTTTTTAATTTATCATGCTCTTTCCTGCCTCTGGCCCATTACGCATGAGACTCTCTGTTACTCCCACTCATTGCCTGCCTCTCTTCTTGTTCTTCGTGTCTCAGTTTAATTTCATCCTTCTGGTCATGTCTTCACTTACCTATCAGTCAAAATTAGGTCTCCCTATTAAATTCTCGCAGAGCACTTTTTTTTCTTTTATTTCTAGAAATTATCATGGTTTTTAATTAAATGCTTATTTGCATTTTTTTTAATTTATTAAATGTCTGTTAACTCCCACTAGATTGCAACTTCCATAGTAAATACATGCATTATTTTGATTCTTAAATGTATTAGCATGAAGGCAAAATCTTTAGACTCTTTCAGGCCTGTCTAATTCTGTATCTATATGGCACTTGATAACATTGAAGAATTTAGTCTTCTTATTGAAACCTTTCCTTGCCTTGCCTTCTTTAACAATAAATACTCTTTCCTGATTTTATTCCTATAACCCTTACCAGTGCCCGATAGAGTTTGCATTATTATATAACTGCCTGGATGATAAAAACAGAATCATATCAGTTAGGACTAGACATGCCAGAAATGATATTACTCCTGCACGATTC